AATGGATAGCGGCGCTGACGGTTGCCATTCAGGAGCGGAGCCAGCGACCGAGAGGCGAGCCGGCGTTCCCGGCCGCGGCGCTCAAAAGGCCAGATCCCCCAGCGGCGCAAGAGAAGCTGGCGTTTCACGAGAGCGAGGAGTTGCGCGCGCATTCGCGTCGCCTTCGACTTCGCCGCCTCCAGGAGCCACCACCGAGGCCGGCGGGATTGCCCTCGAGGCCGCGCTCGCGGTTGGTGCAGATGCCATCCAGTCTCACTCGGAGCTTGTCAGGCAAGCAGCTCGAGAGGTCTAGGGGAACGACGCCAGGCTGGATTCGCGCTTCATCTCTGGCCGGTATGAAGGCGCCCCCCGTTTGGAAGTGGCGGATGCGCAGGCGCGCATTCCTGGCGACGCGCTCTTTCGAAGCGCAGCAGGGCGGAATCATGTTCACGCTGCCGAGAAAGACACTTCATCCATGCAAATGGACCCGACCAAAGCCAAGCGGAAGAAAAGCCACGGAGCCAAGATTGTTGCGACGGAGAGGAGGGCGCAGATCCGGGCCCCCTTCGGCAGGGGAACGGTGCTTCGAGCTTATCGCGAGCTTATCGCGAGGAGAAGCAGGTGCACTTTAGCCAGCAGGACCAACTGCGGGCGATCTGCGGATGTTGGGCCCCCCTCTTCACGGATGTCCCCTTCGATGCTGAGCCTTCCTACCGCATCTCGAGACAGCCCTTTGCCCCCGCTCGGGACGGGCCGTCGAAAAGGTGAGGGGCGCGCGCTGCGCTGGCGAACGCAGGGGCGATGCGCGGACGGAGGCTCTGCGCCGCGCGAAGCAAGGCCGCCGGGGCCTCCGGCGTCTCCGAGGCGAGGAGAAGGCATTTCGGCGAAAGGTTTGGAAATGCCTGGCCGATGTCCAAGCCCGCGAGGATGGGGCGGGTCAGAGTGCCTCCAGGACGGAAGGCAGCCGCCTTCGCCATGGCGCCCAGCTCGACGGCACCGTCGATAAAATTTCCCCCAGGAACGAAACCCTTCTGAGAGAGGAGAGCAGCGCGTCTGACGCATTTGCTGATCGCTGAGTTCAGCATGGCAGAGACAAGCGTGACCTCCGAGCTGCGGAGGCCCAAGGTTTAAACCTTTCTCCAGGGGCTCGAATTACCGAGCCGTCAGGATGATTCCTCTCGCTTCGCGGGGTGCGCGTCCGGGGCGGGGGCGCATGCAGTCCAGTCGTTGCCGGGCCTCTCGGAACTTCTTGGGGGCCCCTTGGAGGCCTCTTCGGGGCCTCCTGGGTCCTCGCGGGGGCGTGTGGGAGACCTCTTGGGGGCATCTGGGAGGCCTGTCGGGGGCTTCTCGGAGCCCCGCGCGGGCGTCTTAGGGGCGCTCTTGCGCTGCCTGGCCCCTTCGGAGACCCTTGCGCCCGGGCGCCCTCGTGGCCCCCCTAGAAGACCAAGAAGCCCAAATTATATATTAAATTGGTTTTGGGAGGTTTTGGGGCCACGAAAGGGGGCCGCCAGGTTGGGTCGACGGATGCGGCGCAGCCCCTGGGGGGGGGGCAGGGGGGAGACATAGTGATGTAACATTAGACAATATGTGGCAAGTCTACAATTATGGGATGAAATGGATACGCTGCATTACAGCATCCGCGGAAAACGCTGCCGCTCAGCACGTCACATCCGGACGCGGGTTCTATGGGCTTACGCTACATCCGCCGACCCCTCTACTAACTACTGCGCGTCCAGGATTGCATTCCACGAGGCTTGTCCGATTCCTGGGAGGTTATTGGGGGCGTTTGGGGGCTCTGTTCGGGCCCCCTGCAAGCGGCGGGGGGCAGGGGGGCATTCGCTGGCTCGCCCTCCTCCGGGACGTCCCCCGGCCCCCTTTCAAAGGGAACTCTTTTGTCGGCGATTGCAAGTTGATCGCCGCTGCGAGGGTGGCGCGCGAAATCTTCGCGCGCGGGTTTACAGTGGGATTGTTTTTTTGCGGGCGGTTCGCAAATTGAGGGGTGCATTTTTGGGGGGCGGCCGCCTGCCAGGGTTTTTTTTTCTGGCCGCCTGTCAAGGAGGGGCCTTTAGACAGCGATTTAAGTTGATCCCTGTTTTACGGGTTGCAAGTGGAATCCTTTCTGTGCGATTCTAGGATAGGGTTCAATTTGTGGGCGGCTTGCAACTTGACTCTTATTGTTCGGGTTGCAAGTAGAATTCTGCTGTCCAGTTTTGCAAAAGGATTTGTTTTAAGGCGATTGATAATTGGATTTCGATTGCACGGGTTGCGCGTAGAATCCGCGCGCGCGGCGCAACAAGAGGGCCCCCCCCCCGCGGCCGAATCGGACAATTCAATCAACCAGACGTAGCAACGCAATCAGAATAACGCGAACAGCAGAACAAATCAAATTAAGAACGCGCAAGATAAATGAAACAAATAACGAATATAACAAAACAAAGCAGACGATAGAACGCGGGAGCATCGAGTCGAGGAAGACAGTCGCCCCCGCCAGCCCGTCGAGGGCGAGATCATGACTGGGGAAGCGTGCGACTACCGCGTTGGCGGGCCCAGACCTCGCGATTGGCTTAGGCGCCACCTTCCCGGCGATGACGAAGCGCCCGGCCCCCTGGCAGCCACCCCTTGCGGGCCGGGCCTGGCCGCGGGCCCGACGGCTCAGGAAGGCGCGGGCGCAGCCGGGAAGCGCGACCTCACGCGCAACGCGCAATGCCACCTGGGCGATAAAGAGGGGGGCGAGGTCGCGCGCGCGGACGAGCCGCCGCGCGGAGGGCTCGACGCCGCGACGGCCGGGGCTCAGGGCGACGCAGTTGTCGCGTTGTGGCGGCGCGCTGCTGCGGTGGAGCCAGCTTCTCAGATGCCCCTCCTTCGCCCCGCCCCCAATGGGCATCTAATGGCTCACGAGCACCATCCCGAAGATGGCCCGAATCTTTTGCCTCCTGGCCTCGCTGCGCAGCGAGGTCCCTCCCCCCCCCGCCTGGCCTTGCCCGGTCACAGTGGTTCAGCCGATGCTTTCGACGCTGGCTCCTCCTCGCCCAGCTCGCCGTCGAACTCCGCGTGCGGGCTCGCGGCCGCCATCTTCGCGTCATGCTCAACCTTTTCCTCTAGTCCAGTAAGCCCAACATGGCAATGGTGCCGACGAGGGTGGCCTTGGGCCTTCTTTCCCCGACCTCGGCCCTGCGACGGTGGGGTAAACTACGCGCCTCGAGATTCTCGGGAAGTTTCAGATCGCGCGGGCGATGATGTTTTGATGGAAGTGCCGCTGAAGGCGGTGGTGGTGCTCTTCGCGCGGCCGTTGGCAGCGCGCGGGGGGGGGCCGTCGGCGGCCCCCCCCCCTGCGGCGCGGGCAATGGGCCAACCGCCCCCCCGGGAGCTTCGTAAACCTGGCGCGCCAGAAGCCTGGTTGGCACCCAATCGCCATCGATCGCCTGGAGGGTCTCGCCGAGCAGTGGTACTCGCGGCGGAGGGCGAGGTCTCGCGGGCCGTCGACGACCGGGCCACGCGCGGGCCGGGAGCTCGCCGAATTCATTTAGGCTCCCTCTCCCCGCCTTATGTCCAGGGGGCCATGGCGGCCCCGCGCGGTGGCCTAGCGTTCCGCCGCCCATCCTTGCCGTGGACGCTGGGGCGCAGAACCTTGGCGCAGATCCCGACGCGGACCCGAGCTCCGACAGCAGCAGCAGCTGCCCCAGGCTCAGCCGCCATATCCAAGTTTTGGCGGGCGGTTTGGCATGTGCTCCGCCCCGTCGCGTCGGCGCTTGCCATCGCGCCGCGGTCAAGCGGGTGCTCTTCTCTACGTTGGTAGAGTTCGTCGCGAGCGGCGAAAGAACGGGCGATAAGTGTCGTGTCCCCTGGAAGATTTGGCAAGCTGTTCTGAGCGCAGTGCATCCTGACTGCGTTGGCTGCACCCTCCTGCAAGGGGTCACCTTGGAGTTCGCCGCGCAGTGGATCCCACAGCTCCACTACTCAAACAAGTACATGCCTTGACTCGCACTGGCATTGGCTGAAGCGGTGCGTTACCGTCGTGCGTCTTCTAGTGAGGAGCACGCGTCCTTGCTTCAACTTGAAGCCATGGTTGAGGAGCCAGGCGCAGAGATATGGATCATGGGCGGGAGCAAACGGAAGATGCTGGTGGACGAATCGGCTTCCCCTCCTCCTGATGAGCTCGCTTTGCGTGATGCTCGACTGCGCGAGGGAGGTGCAAGCGGTTCCGTAGATGACGCCCGCGGATCCACCTCGCTCCCGGGCGTCGTGGCGAAGAGATGCATGTAGGCCCTGCCGCGCGCCGCCCCAGGGCCCGCAGGGGGAGGGGAGCAGGGGATCCAGACTCCGTGCCGGACATGAGCAGCATGATGCCTGCCCCTGGCGCCGACTGCGACGAGGAGTTCACTGTGCACTGCTGGGGGGCCTGGTCGCCGCGGGCTCCCGTTCCAGTGCGTCGGCAAGTTCATCTCGAGCAAAGCAGAGCTCCTCGAGCGAGCCCGCCCTCGGCGGCCACCTTCTTGGAAATCCATCGGATTCCTGCAGAAATCGATTGGATCCCGGAAGAATTATAGGATTCCTTCGGAAATCCATAGGATCCTTTAGGACATCCATCGGATTCCTGAGGACATCCATAGGACGCCATAGGAAATCCATCGGGTTCCCGCCGAAGTCCATAGGATTCCCTCACGGGCCACGTGACAAACGAGCGCCACTTCGACCGGGGCAGCGTTCGCCTGGCGGGGCTCCAGGGCGCTGAGGCTGGCCCGCCCACGAACGGCGACGAGGCGGTCGCCGCCCGTGGCCGCGGGCGCGCGCAGCCGCGCCTCGATCCAAGTGGTCAAACTCTTCGAGTCGGTCGCTCCTCCTGCCCCTGCCTCCTCGATCCTGCTCGTCGTGCCCCGTTTCTTCCTCCTCCTCCTCCTCCTCCTGCCCTTTCTCCTCCTCTTTCTCTTCCTCCTCCTTTTCCTCTTCAGTATCCTCCTCCTCCTCTTGGGGGGAGCAGGAGAGAAGGCAGTGAGGGGGGAGAGCCGGCGTGTGCCGCCAAGGACGTGGCGAAGGCGGAGGACGCCTTCTGCTTGGGCCCCACACAGCAGAAGCCTCTTTTCCCCCGTGCGCATCGGGAAAGGCAGGCCGTCTCTTGACTGAGGGCCTGGTTCCGTGTCGAGTGGAGGAGGAGGAGGAAATGGAGGAGGAGGAGGAGGAGGAAGAGAAGAGAAGGTGGATGAGGAGGAGGGCGGGATGGAGGCAGGAGGGGAGGAACCAGAGGAGGAAAAGGTGCCGATACCGCTACCTTTCGCATCGTTATCTTTTTTGATACTGGTTCTCGTCACTACTGCTGGATTCGTTCCGAAATTATGGTCAGAACAGCCCCTGGACGAGGAGAAAACTCATCATATCGCGCGTGATCGCTGTCCTCGAGGTCTCTCGCACCTCTCGGGGCAACGGCAACTTCGACCGCCCTGGATGGCAATTAGTCGCCAGCTTGCTGCAACGGAGCTCGAGGCGTCGCCACGTGCCGCAATGTCCAGCCGCCGTGGTCGAAGTCGGCGCTCGCAGACGTCCGCTTCGACGCCCGGCGCGTCGAGCAGAGCTCTGCCTGGAGGCAGGGCAGCTGTCGCTCTTGGTGGGTGTGCGCTCCTGTCTCGGCCGTCGGCTGCAGCAATGTGTGAGGCATTGCCTCGGCCTTCCTTGGTGGCCCCGGCTGGAAGGAGTTCACCCAGCAGGGGCCCACGAAGCAGAAGGTGATCAAGACGACGATGCTCTCGGGAGAGGTTGTGGAGGAGAAAGTGTGGGAGGCAACGGGCTTAGCAGCGCCCCGTGCGTAGATGTCCCCAGTTTTCTTGCAAGTGCGGTTCGAGGCACTATACTGTATATCAGTGGTACGTTTTCAGTAGGTTTCTATGCAGCCATTGGCTCTATATCGTGTTTGATATCACGGTGCATCTGTTCTGATTTCTGATATCGGCGGTCAGCTGCTATTGCTTTGTGCCGCCGATTCAGTGGATGGGTGCGGCGCGTAGCAACAAGGTCACTGGTGACGCCATCAGCACCGAGCAGGGTAAGCCCAACACATGGAGGTCGGCATGAGTCCGCAAGGGGCGCCGTTGTGGGCGACTTGCTCGTACGCCTTCGTGCTCAATTTTTTCAAAGCTGTAGCATATGCTGTACACTGCCGTGCCAGCATTGTAGTTAAGTTCGACATGAGAGGAGGTAGCTCACGCAGCAGATACCATGCACGGCGATGGGTGGAGGACGCGCACCTTGGGCACAACAACGAACCCAGAAACCCCTGCACAGAACGTGTGCGCATGAATTCGAGCCACGCCCAAATCACATTAGTGTGTGCATCAGCGCGCGCGCACGATGCCATTCCGCTTGTTTCCGTCAGCGCCTGCGCCTCTCTGGGAGCCAATTCTGTTCGGTTCTTTCTGTCGAGCTTATCGGCTGTACTCGAAGCGCTTTGGAACTTCTCTCTCTCTCACTCTCTCTCTCTCTCACCCTTTCTCTCTCACTCTCACTCTTACTCTCACTCTCTCTCTCTCACTCTCACTCTCTCTTTCTCTCTCGCTCTCCCTCTCTGTTTGTGTTGTGAGAAGTTTTGGCGTGATCGTGCCCTTCTGTCCGTGGCATCGGTGTGCGCTTCAAGTCGCGGTCCTCTCGTGGAGGGGCTGCCGCCTCGGAGTTCGATCGACACGTTGAGTGTGTCTGTGTCTGTGTCTGTGTCTGTGTCTGTGTCTGTGTCTGTGTCTGTGTGTGCAGAGTAGGGGGGGGGGGACTCGGCGCATACCGCGGCCCCCCCGTGTGGAGTCGGAGCAGACAATGGACTTGACCGTGGGTTTGGCCTTCTGGCCCCCACCCAGGCCTGCCGGCCTCCCCCCTTGCCTGGCTTTCAGGCCAGCACGCGGTCCCCTCGGCAGTTCTGCCAGTGGGCCTGTGCGCTCGCTGCTCCCCCCGCGGTAACGCAGCCGTGGTTCCTTGCACTGCCATGCCCCCTCCCCGCGCCTCGAAGGTCGATCTCGGCGCCCGCCGCCCACTAGCTGGCACATCCCAGCTCCACGCCGCTCCCCCATGACGGCGTGGCTCCGCATCTTTGTCTCATGTCCTTCGCTCACACGCCGGCCGCTCTTGCCGTGCCCATCGCAGCACACTCGTGGCGGCCAGCGCTCCGCCATTCTCCCTCTCCCACTGCGCCTCGCAGGTCACTGGATCTCGGCGCTTTGCCTAGCCGCTGGGTTCGGCAGCACCGCCAGCTGCCCCATTGGTGTGGCGACTGCATCAACATGTGACAGGCATTTCTCTTTGCAGCCGTTTGCTGATTGTCCAACGTCAGCCCCTTTGGTATTCTCATGGGCTGGTATTGATTGGCTGGTTTGGACGTTCCATACTTGCTCATTCGTGGTACTGCTCTCCCACGCGGCTCTGCCTGGCCGCCGCCGGGCTGCCTCCCCCCCCCCCCCCCCAGCTGCTGCCGGGCGCCGCGGCTGGCTTCCCCCCCTGGCGTCCGCCCCGCCACAGCCGGGACTTGCCTGAGCGGGCCCGGCTTCCTCTTTTCCCGTTGCGCCAGTGTTTCCTCTTCTCCTCACGCGCACTGCGGCCCAATTTGCATCTAGCGCGCCCCACTGATGCCCGATCGCCGGAGCAGCAACCTCTGCCCAGCCGCCGACGCAAAAAAGTGTGTGCAGTTTTGCTGCTTGTGGCTGAGCCTAGCACGTGTTCCGATTATTGTCTCGATGTCCTGCGTGGCTGCGACTGTACCTCACCACCCACCAAACCACCGCAACCCAACCCGAGGGTTTAAATTTGTCCTTCATTCTCAGTGGGGGGGTCGGGGGCATATGGAAAAAAACACTTGAAACCCGTACCCTCCCCAATTCGAAAGTCGGGTCTTCGGGTTGGGTTGGGGTTGTCTGGTAGGTAGTCGGCAACTGCAGGCTGTGCCACACATGCTCCCCAAACAGCACATGCCGTAAGAGTTCTGCACAAACAGGAGCCAGCGCTTGCTAGCTCCAGGCCCCGTTTTTCACGAGCCGCGCCGTGGCTTCGGGCGATCAAAGCTACACATATCCAGTGCTCCCTGGCCGGGCACCTCCTGGGCCCCGGAGCTGTGTAGACGCCCTCCTGGCCAAGCCAGCAGGGCGTGGCGTATAGCTGCTAATTAGGCTCAGGATGGGCCTGGCCAGGGAGCAGTCAGCGGATATGCACCGACTTCGTCGCCCTGTGGTCGTGGCCGTCCCGCGCCGGTGCAGTGCCGTCGTGCCCTGCGTGCCGCGCCGTGCCGTCATCCGTGGGTCCGCTCTCCCTGTGCCGCGCCGACTCCGCCTGCCGTGGCGTGCCGCGCCGAGCCGCGCCGTCGGTGTGCGAGCTCGTTTTCCGCGGTCATGCCGTGCCGTGTTGCCATGCCGCGCCGTGCCGTGCCGCGCGTGCGTTCATGCCGCCGCGCCGTGGCGTGGCTTGGCGTGCCGTGCGGTCCTCCGCGGTCATGCCGCCGCGCCTTGGCGTGCCGTGCCGTGCCGTCCACGTTCCATGCCATGTCGTGCCGCCAGCTCGCGAGCTCGTCCAGTGAGGCGCCGCGCCGTGCAATCGTGCAGTGCCGTGCGGCTCCGTGCTGTGCCGTGTCGAGCCTCGTGGTTGCAATGGGCGCGGGCCTTGCCGCGCCGTATCGTTGTGCAGAGCTGTGCCGTGATGTGCCGCGCCGCGTGGTTTCGGGCGCGCCTCCTCCTCGCCGTCGTCTTGCGCATGCTCTGAAGCAGGGGTCTCTTTGGCATCCATCGGGCTGGGTTCACAGCCGCCGGCCTCTTGCTGACTTGCTTGATGCTGCGGTGGGCCTTTGCAGGTGTCGAGAGAAGCCCGTGGAGAGTACCTGCGGATGGGAAGGAGGAGGAGGAGGAGGAGGAGGAGGAGGTGGAGGAGGAGGGGGAGGACGAGGAGGACCACTAAATCTAAGACTCATCAGTGATGTTGGAACAAACCCACCCTCCATGCTTCCTTTTCATTGGCACCTACAATGGTTCATGTCCACTGAGGGAAATGCCACGTTGGGAGACAACCGTCTGAAGGTCCTGAAGCGTGCCGAAACACCATTCTCGCCATTATCAACGCTACGAATTCGCCGGCCCAACGGGCCAGAGGTGTGCTAAGATCTCCGGCAGCTGCTTTACAGTAATTATACTTAGCGCGCTGGGCGGCCCCTGGGGGTCCCCGGAAGAAAAGTACCCCGGGCAGTTCCCGGGCGCTGCGGGTCAGAGATTTTTTTTCTCCTGGGTGCCGCCCTCGAGGCCGTCCAGAGAGCCCTAAGAAAGGCCAAGAGGCCGCCAAGAGCCTTCAAGATGATACGAGAGAGCTCCGAGATGCCACAAGATCGCTCCTAGACGCACAAGATGCCCCCCAAACGGCCCAACACGCCTCCCAGAGCACTCTTAAGAGGGCCCCAAGAGGCAAAATTCATTGCTGTTCCCTAGGTTTTGAAGAGATCAGGGCGTTTCCACCTTTTCGGCTTCCCGGCACCTCAAGACAGCCCAAGATGTCCCCAAGACCGCCCCAAGAGGGCCCAAGAGGCCCCCAAGAAGGTTCCAAGACGGCCCAAGAGGGCTCCGAAACGGCCCAAGAGGCTTCAATACTGCCCAAGAAGGCCCCAAGAACGCCCCAAGAGAGGTCCCCGGGGGGGAGCACGAATCAACATTTCGAGCTCTCGGCTCTTTGAAGGCCCCAGGAGTCCCCAAGAGGCCCCTAAGAGACCCCAAGACGCCCCCAACAGGCCGAAGAGGCCCCCAAGCGGCCCCAGCAGGGCCCCAAGAGGCAAAATTCATTGCTTTTTCGTCAGGTTTTGGAAAAATTTGGGCGTTTCTACTTTTTCGGCTTCCCGAAGCCCCAAGACGGCCCAAGACGCCCCCAAGACCGCCCCAATAGGACACAAGAGGCTCCCAAGAGGGCCCCCAGACAGCCCAAGATGGCCCCGAAACGGCCCAAGAGGCCTCCAAGACGGCTCAAGAAGGCCGCAAGAACGCCCCAAGAGAGGTCCCAGGGGGGGGGGGGCACGAATCAACATTTCGAACTCTCGGCCTTTTGAAGGCCCCAGGAGTCCGTAAGGGGCTCTCCTAAGAGACCCCAAGACGCCCCCAACAGGCCCTCAGGAGGCCCCAAGAGGCCCCCAAGCGACCCTAGGAGGAGAGGCAAACTTTATGGTTTTTCTTCCCCACATGTTTCGTGGGGTTCTGGTTTTCTTCTCTGCCGCGTCGCACCCGCGTCTCCTCACACACACCTCCCCTCCCCCCGCACACAGCACAGCACAGCTCAGCTCAGCACAGCACAGCTCAGCACGGCACAGCACAGCTCACCGCAGCACAGCACGGCACGGCACAGCTCAGCTCAGCTCAGTTCAGCACAGCACAACATACTGGGCACCCACGTGAGACACACGTTCCGATACGGCCGCACACGCATCATACAAGACGTGCGTGTAGGATTCGGAGTGGATGGCAGGAGGCTCTATGCAGGCCATGGCGCAGGGCACGGCATGCGTGACAACAGACGTGATCACCATACAACGCTAGTGCGCGCCTGCTGTGTTCACTGCATCACACATCCACGACGTGTGCGCCACATAGTGGGCACCCACATGAGACACGTCCCGATATGGCCGATATGCACGACGGTCGTCCAGGCATAGCAGGCGTGGCACTTCCTCGACACCAGAGGGGGTGCGCTGGGGGGGGGGGCCTTATGCGTTCCGGGCTCGCAAAGCGTGGGAGGTGTGGCACTTCCTCGACACCAGAGGGGGTGCGCTGGGCGTGGGGGCCCTATGCGTTTCGGGCTCGCAAAGCGTGGCAGGCGTGGCACTTCCTCGACACCAGAGGGGGGGGCGCGCTAGGGGTGGGGGCCCTATGCGTTTCGGGCTCGCAAAGCGTGGGAGGCGTGGCACTTCCTCGCACCAGGGGGTGCGCTGGGGGGGGGGCCTTATGCGTTCCGGGCTCGCAAAACGTGGCAGGCGTGGCACTTCCTCGACACCAGAGGGGGTGCGCTGGGGGTGGGGGCCCTATGCGTTTCGGGCTCGCAAAGCGTGGCAGGCGTGGCACTTCCTCGACACCAGA